GGGTGTTGCATTAGTTCCAAATGTTCCCATTAGTTACACAAGGGGTTGCATTAGTTACACAAGTTTTACATTATTTAAAACCAAGGTTACAATAGTTAAAAACAAGTGTTAAAATTATTTTTCCAAGTTTTGCTTATTTACACAAGTGTTACATTATTCCCACAAGGTTACATTTATTACCAAGTTTTTACATTAGTTACACAAGTTTTTGCATTAAAACACAATGTTGCATTAGTTACACAAGTTTACATTGTTCACACAAGTTTTTACAATATTTTTACACAAGTTTGCATTATTTTACCCCAATTTGGTTACATTAGCTAAAAAGGTGTTACATTAGTTACAAAAGTGTTACTTTATTGCACAAGTGTTGCTTTTTTTGGGCACAATTTTACTTTAGTTACACAATGTTGAAATTATTTTAAACCCCAAAGTTTTGAAATTTAGTTAACAATTTTTTGCATTATTTACACAAGTTTACTTTAGTTACACAAGTGTTACATTAGTTACACAAGTTTGCATTAGTTCCACAAATGTTACTTATTACCAATTTTTTAAAATTAGTTTGCACAAGTTTTTAACTTTAAATTCAAAAGGGTTTTTGCTTTTAATTACACAAATGTTCCCTTATTTCCCACAATTTTTTTCCTTATTTTCAAAAGTTTTACATCGTTACACAAGGTTTACATTAGTTACACAATTTTTTAAAAGAAATTTTAAACCCCAATTTTTGCATTTTTAACAAGTTTTTACATTATTTTCAAAAGTTTTCTTATTACACAATTTGCTACTTTAAGTTACACAAGGGGTTACATTAGTTACAAAAGGGTTTTTGGCTTTATTTTTACACAAGTTTTTGAAAATTTATTTACACAATTTTTGCATTAGTTGCACAAGTTTTACATTTTTTTCACAAGTGGCCGTTATTTACACAATTTTTACAGTAGTTACCCAAGGGTTGCTTTAAATTTACACAAGTTTAATTAGTTTTCAAAAGTGTTGCTTTATTAAAACAAGTGCACTTTTGTTGACAATTGTTCCCTTAGTTACACAAGTGTTGCATTAGTTGCACAAGGGGTTAAACATTAGTTCCCCAAAAGTTTTGGCATTATTTGGCACAAGTGTTACATTATTTTACACAAGTGTTTGCAAAAATTAAACACAAGTTTTACTTTTATTACACAAGGGTTGCTTTATTTTACAAAATTTTACTTTAATTTAAACAAAAGGGTTTTGCATTAGTTACACAAGTGTTGCATTATTTTCAACAAGTGTTCCCCTTAGTTGCACAAGTTTTTAAAATTAAATTCCCAACAAGTTTTAAAATTATTTTTACACAATGTTACTTTATTGCACAAGTGTTACTTTAAGTTACACAATTTGTTGCATTATTTTACAAAAAGTGTTTACTTTATTTACACAAGGGGTTACAAGTTACACAAGTGTTACAAGTTACAAAAGTGTTACATTATTTCACAAGTTTTGGGCTTTAATTGAAAAAGTGTTACAAATTTAAAAAAGTGTTGCATTAGTTTACACAAGTTTTGCTTAGTTACACAAGGGGCATTAGTTACACAATGTTACTTTAAATTTACAAAAATGTTACTTATTTACAAAAGGTTTTGCATTTTTTTACACAAATTTTTACATTAGTTACAAAAGTGTTACATTAGTTCCAAAAAGGGGTTACTTTTAGTTCCCCACAAGTTTTTTAAAATTATTTTACAAAAGGGTGTTGCTTTAATTTTTACACAATTTTTAACTTTAATTCACACAAGTGTTGCTTAGTTTTACAAAAGGGGTTACATTATTTTAAAACAAGTGTTAAAATTATTTTTAAAACAATTTTTTTACTTTTTTTTAAACACAAGGTTGCTTAGTTACACAATTTTACATTATTTACACAAGTTTGCATTAGTTACCAAGTGTTACTTTTATTCCCAAAATGTTACTTTATTACACAAGTTTACATTAGTTACACAAGTGTTGCTTTAAAGTTACACAAGTTTGCATTAGTTACAAAAGTTTTTATATTTGTTACACAAAGTGTTTGCTTTTATTTTCCCACAAGTATTACTTTTAGTTACACAAGTGTTCATTTTTTGCCCCAAGGGGTTACATTATTTTCACAATTTGCATTAGTTACACAAGTTTACTTTAGTTTCCCCAAGTTTTTTGCATTGGGTTGCACAATTTTGTGAATTATTTTTGCACAAGTGTTACTTTAAAGCTAGCAAGTGTCCCTTTAGTTACAAAAGTGTTGCTTTATTTGCACAATTTGGCGTTAGTTAAAAAAATTTTTAAAATTAGCTAAAACAAGTGTTACATTAGAAACCCAATTTTTGAAATTTTTTGGCAAAAAGTTTTTTGCTTTTATTTGGGCACAAGTTTTTGCTTTTGTTACACAATTTTTAACATTATCTATAAAAGTTTTTTTACTTTAATTTCACAAGGGGTTCTTTAGCACCCCGTTAGCATGACATCACACCCCGCCCCACACCCCCACAGGATTTCCTCATGCTCACTGGGCTGCCGTGATGAGAGGAATGTATTTTGTCTCCATCCCCCCACTTTTTTCCCCGGTTTTTCCCCTTTTTTTTGGGGACTATACATGTTTGTTTATTGGTAAAAAAAAGTTTTTAAAACACCGGGAACTATAGCTCAAATCAAAGTGTTTAAACAAAGCTGGGCACCAAAAAAAGGGAAATAGGGGAAAAATGTTGGTGTGGGGAGCGCCAGTGAGGAACTGGGTGCAGTGTTTCAAGGCTGGTGGCGGTGTTGAGTTACCGTCTGCCAAACCTCGGCCTGGCCTCTCAAAGAAGACATCTGTTCCTACCTTGACTGTGTTAAAGAAACAGTTAGAGAATACACCTAAGATAACTGCTAGAGAAATGAAAGAAAAGAACCCACATCTTATCTCAGAGGCGTCTGTAAGAACTGTTAACAGACGTGTGTCAAAACTGGGCTACAGTAGTCACCGCCAAGTTAAGAAACCGATAATCTCCAAGCCACAGAAGAAACGTAGGCTGGATTATGGAAAGAAATATCCTCACTGGAATCCTCAACAGTGGTCTGAAGTACTTTGGAGTGATGAAGCAACCTTCACGGTCACCTGTAACCGTGGGGGACATGTGTACCAGCCGGGAGGTAGTGACCCGCTAGACCTACGCTAAACCTGTAGGACCACCAAACACCCAGACTCGCTCATGGTATGGGAGAGTTTCAGTGTTCAGCATGTTGGTGAACTCATTGTGCTTCCCAAAAACCAGTATATGAACCAGTATAATTACCTGGAATTATTGTGTGACAATTTACCTGAGGCTTTTGACCAGTGTCGGGCTACAGTTTTTATGCAGGACGGTGCACCGTGTCATACCACCAAATCTGTAGTTCAGTGGCTTAAGGACTGTGAAGTGAGGTTCTTTAATGACTGGCCAGGCAATTCCCCAGACCTAAACCCTATTGAGAATTCTAATCAATAGTGAAAAGAAGTTTACTGGGCAAGGATGTCAGTTCCATCCCGCGGCTGGAGGCTGCTCTACATGAAGCATGGAATAATATACCTCCCCAGACCCTCAGGAATTTGTGTGAGAGTCTTCCTACATGGCTGAGGGACGTGATTAAGCGTAAAGGACGCAGTATCAAGTATTAAAACCCCAGTAAGTTTGCAAATATATATATTATAATTTTTCATGGTATGTGTTTGTGTTTTGGTACGTGTGTGGGGGAGTGGCGGCATAATGCCGTGGCTAACACTCTATACAGTAGATCCTCATATTACACGGATTTCTTTGGCACGTTTTGGTTATTACACTACAGAAAAATTGCGGCATAATTTTATACAACACTTCGTAAAATTAACTTAACATCATTCGATTTGCAGGAGGGAAAAAATTTTGGAGTGTCGCGGGATATTTCCGTAGCTCAGGTCGCCGCCGCCTGACTGTGGGTGAGACCGCAGTCTCCGTGGCGCTGCACAGGGCCTCAAGGCAACAAAGGATCTCTTCATTTTGCTCCTTTGCGGTAATGCGTCAGGGGATTTCAAGTGTAAACCCATAGTTATTTATCACTCTAAGAATCCTCGTGCTTTGAAAGGTGTCGATAAAAAACCTTACCGGTAATTTGGAGGTCAAACTAGTCAGCATTCATGACAGGACATATTTATTGACTGGTTTAAGCATCACTTTATTCCGCAAGTTAAGTTTTACCTGCACAAGAACCTTGCAGTCAAGGCTCTCTTCATTCTTGATAATTCCCGTACTCATCCAGAAGCTTTGTTGGATGTGACTCCACATGTAAAAGTTGTATTTTTACCTCCAAATACAACACCTTTAATACAACCACTGGATCGGAGAGTTATTAAGTCAGTCAAGTGTAACTACACAAGAAAAGTAATGAAAAAACTAGTTGAATCAATAGACTGACTCCAACCTGGCAGTACCAAGCTTCAGGAATAATGTATAATGTACTGCAGGGTGAAACAAGCCAGAGATCCATTACAGAATTTATGCACACTGCAATACAACCATCGACTTTAGTATCAGAACCTCAACCATCCACTTCTGCTGACAACCAACAAACATCCACTTCAGCCCAGTAGGACCACACTGTCCATCTCCACTCTCTTCACAATCACTGACATACACCAGCAACCACAATTTATGGTAAATAATATTATTTCTGTTGCATTTGTAGTCTTAAGCAACAAAAAAGCATTAGCATATTTATTTTCGTACGATCATGATGTCCAAAAAAATTGTTGGGCTTTTCGGGGAGTCCCAGAAACCTAACACTATTTTTTTCCCATAAGTTCTTCAGTTTATATAACAGTGATTTATCTAACACGGCGTTTTCAGAAACGTAACTACCATGTAACATGAGGGTCTACTATTATATATAATATATATATATATATATATATATATATATATATATATATATATATATATATATATATATATATTATATATATATACACACACAAACTTTCTTTTCTCCAGGGAGACACATACTGGCGTTACAATAATCAGGATCCGAGCGAGGGATATCCTAAGAAAATCAGCAGAGGTTTTCCTGGTATCCCTGACAACTTGGACTCCGCCACAAGCGCCTTCGAGAATAATGTCATCTACTTCTTCAAGGTAGGAGGAAAATTGAGGTAATATGCGTATTGTCCGCACCATCTATCTTCTAGATGTTTGTTCAGTTGAAGGGCTAGTGCGTCTTGCACCGTGTGACTCCTGGTCTTCTATTTGGGAGAGAGAGAGGAGACAAATACATTTCTACTCATTTAGGTGTTAATAAAGATAAGGATATTCCTTCGGGGTAATACATTATTGTAATACATGACTTTATAACAATATTTCAGGGTTGTAAAATATTGGTTCGTTGTTGTACAATATCGATGTAAAGTTATATATTATTGTTTCTGGGTTTGTAGGATTTATTTCAGGGTTGTAAATCACACTATTTTATATAACTGTTTCAGGGTTGTATATATGAGGCATTTCTTAAAGCAATATCATATATATATACATACATATATATATATATATATATATATATATATATATATATATATATATATATATATATATATATATATATATATATATATATATATATATATATATATATATGTCGTGCCGAATAGGCAGAACTTGCGATCTTGGCTTACATAGCAACGCTCATCTTGCCATATAGGACAAGTGCAAATTTGTGTATGCAATAATTTCACCAAAATCTTTCTGAACCTAACGAAAAAAATATATTTCACTGTGTTTGTTTAGTATTAAATTATTGTAAACAAATCTAAAATATATTTAGTTGAGTTAGGCTAAAATAAATTGTTCGTCTTATAATAAGGTTAGGTAAGTTTTCTAAGGTTCTTTTGGTGCAAAATTAAATATTTTTACATTAACATTAATGAAAAAAAATATATCTTTAAACGTATAAGAGAAAATTTAAGAAAGGACTTAATTTTAAATGAGTTCTTCCTAATTGACCAGTTTTACATATTCGGCACGACATATATATATATATATATATATATATATATATATATATATATATATATTATATATATATATATATATATATATAATATATATATATATATATATATATATATATATATATATATATATATATATATATATATATATATATATATATATATAATATATATATATTTATTATTATTATTATTGATAACACATCGGCCGTTTCCCACCAAGGCAGGGTGGCCCACCAAGGCAGGGTGGCCCAAAAAAGAAAACCTTTTATCATCATTCACTCCATCACTGTCTTGCCAGAGACATGCCTACACTTACACTACAGTTATAAAACTGCAACATTAACACCCCTCCCCTTCCCTTCAGAGTGCGGGCACTGTACTTCCCATCTCCAGGACTCAGGTCTGGCCTGCCGGTTTCCCTGAATCCCTTCATCAATGTTAACTTGCTCACACTCCAACAGCAAGTTAAGTCTTAAGCACCATTTGTCTTCATTCGCTCCTAAAGCGCTCACACATGCTTGCTGGAAGTCCAAACCCCTTGCACACAAAAGCCTCTTTTACCCCCTCCCTCCAACCATTCCTAGACTGACACCTTCCCACCACCACAGATTTATACACTCTCTAAGTCATTCTATTTTGTTCCAACCTCTCTACATGTCCGAACCACCTCAACAACCCCTCCTCAGAACTCTGGATAATAGTTTTGGTAATCCCGCACCTCCACCTAATATCCAAACTACGAATTCTCTGCATTATATTCACATCACACATTGTCCTCACACATGACACCACTGCCTCCAGCCTTCTCCTTGTTGTAACATTCACCACCCATGCTTCACACCCATATAAGAGCGTTGGTATAACTGCTCAAGTGTACCAGGGAAGAAGGAAGATTGTTGTGAAGGTTTGAAACTATGATACATTAAATCCATACATAGCAAACTGCAGTATATATACCATAAATATCAAACTACAGTGTACATACCAACATATAAAACAAATTACTTTTATAGTAGGCTTATCTAGCCAGCCTACCTTGAAGAACTGTTCAAGTGTACCAGGAAGGAACATTGTTATATGAGATTGAAATTATAATACATAAAATCCATATATAACAAATTACAGTATATGTACCATTATATAAACAAAATCTTTTATATAGTAAGCATATTCTATCCAGCCTACCCAGAAGAAATGTTTAAGAACTGTTAAACACTAACAACTAAATACTTTTAGTAGTCCTGTAGGCTGACTAGTTAGGAGAGTTGTAAAGTGTCAGGAGCTGTAAATGACCAACAACATGAAAATCTGTGTAGTCTGCAGAAAGGGTAACAAACGAAGTCATACCTGGATTGCTTGCAGGAACTTTAAACCAGTGACCATCTTAGATATAAAATCAGGTAATTGTTTTTGGGTCTGCCCAAACGAGATACACCTGTTGGAGAAAATTACATCTATATTAAAAGACAAGAACAATGAAATATCCTTCTTGAAAGACATGTCAGCATGGTATAACAGCTAGGAAAATAAAATGGTTGGGTTGAACGGGGCTGTCTTGGAAGACAGTGCCCCAGAGGTGTGATATTATTGTCGTGGAGGACAGAGGTACAAAGTAACAATACTGTTGGAGACGGAACTAAAGAGGATGATGCCACAGGGAACAGTGTTGACTCATTACCAGTAAAAACTGGTGGAAGCATTCATGTCCATATAAGAATGGTAGATAGTGGGGAAACAGCCACAAAAAAATCCTAGCAAACAAAATTCCAGTCTATGCAAATTCTATGCCTTGAGTATCTGCAGGCACGTATATCTGGAAAAACCGGTGGGACACGCACCTTTGATCATCCCAAAAAATGCCACACCCACATGAAAACAGGAGGGTGCAAATCTCCTTCCTGTAACTTATTTCATCCCGAAATGTGTCACTCGTCAGTTTATGAAAGAAAATGCTACAACATATACTGCCAGGCACATCATCTAAAGGGGACAAGAAGATACAGACCAGCCAGGCTATGGGAAACGAAAGAGGGGAGCCATAACCACTCCAGAGAAGGAGTTTTTTTAAGTGCCAGGAAGGAAAAAATGACTGGCAGGAAATGACAGAAATCTTACACCAACCGAAAACACTTCTGGGGCAGAGGCACAGTCATTGGTCTCTACTTCAGAGCAACAGATATTAATGCCAGCAAATGAAACCCCCTTAAATTCCATCAATATAATAACATTTATCTTTGCAAACATACAGGGTCTAAAGCATCAATAAACAACAAAATTCCTTGCCTCAAGGGACTGCTTAATGACTCAAATGCAATATTTGCAGCATTCACAGAGACCCACATAAAGGATCATTATGACAACGAAATATGGATCCCAGGTTATAACCTATTCCGATGCGACAGACTAAACAGGCAACAAGGGGAGGTTGGCTTGTCTGTCACAGTGCTGCTCATTTGCTCAGAACTACTAAACACTTCAAATGATGTAGTTGAAGTCTTGGCAGTAAAGACAAAATCAAAACCTGGTTATTGTGGTTGTATACAAGCCTCTGGATGCAACTTCCGAGCAATTCCAGGAACAGCTTTTGAAAATTAACCACTGTTTGGAAAAATCTTCAAGTCCTGCGCCAGACATCTTGCTACTGGGAGATTTCAACTTGAGACACCTAAAGTGGAGGAGTGTAGCAAATAATATTTTAGCAGAGATCACCCCAGGAGGCAGCTCAGATGAAAACTCACATACACACGAGCTATTAAATCTCTGCACCAAATTCACTTTAAACCAGCAAATATTAGAGCCTACAAGACTAGAAAATATGAGGGACCTCATCTTTACTAATAAAGACGATTTGATATGTAATATAACTGTATTTATTTATTTATTTTTTATTTATTTAGTAATTTTAGCATACATACAGAGGTACAAAAAAATACAGGTAAGAGCAGCATGCCAAAGCCACTTATATGCATAGCATTACGGGCTGGCTTAAAATTAACTTAAGATTAACTAAGCAATGATGTAATCAGTGATAAAACATTATTGTAAACAGATAACTATAAAGACAATTCACTCAGATCACAACATAATTGAGGTACAGACATGTATGCACAGGGCTCCAGACCAGCAACATGTGATCAGTTATGATAGTGTCTTCACAAAATTCAACTTCAATAACAAAATCATATAATGGGAACAAGTCAACCATGTCCTAAATGAAACAAGATGGGAAGATATCCTAAACAACAGGAATCTGAACCTTTGCCTAGAAAAAATTAACTCTGTGGCACTTCATGTCTGCTCAAGGCACATTCCATTAAGAAAAAGAAATACAAGCTGTAAACTAGAATGAGAGAGATGTTCCCTATACAGGCGAAGGTGAAGAATCACAGAGCTGCTGAGTGGGGCCAATATATCTGAAATACGAAGGGAGGCACTGGTCAAAGAATTAGCAAATATCAAACTTAAGCTTAAGGAATCTTACAGGAGACAAGAATCTCAGGAAGAACTAAAAGCCATTAAGAAAACTAAAAAAAAAAAAAAAAAAAAAAAAAAAAAACACGTCTTCCCTTATGCCAAATCTAAGGGTAAAACATCCAGTATTGAGCCCCTGCATAGGCGAGATGGGCCTTACACAGATGACAGCAAAGAAATGAGATACTAAAGTCTCAGTACGGCTCAGTTTTCAGCGAGTCGTTAACAAGACTAAGGATCGACAATCTAAATAAATTCTTCATGACAGAGACCCAAAATCTGGTTATCTCAAAAATCTCGGATATTATCCTAACACCACAAGACTCTAAAAAGGCAATAAATGACATGCCCATGCACTCTGGCCCAGGCCCAGACTCATGGAACTCCGTATTCATAAAAAACAGCATAAAGTCCCTGTCACGTGCCTTCAGCATTCTATGGAGAGAGAGAGCATGAACATAGAGGTCATCCCACACTCACTAAAAACAACAGACATAGCCCCACTCTACAAAGGTGGCAGTAAAGCAATTGCAAAGAATTACAGACCGACAGCACTAACATCCCATATCATAAAAATCTTTGAGAGGGTTCTAAGAAGCAAGATCACCAACCACCTAGATACCCATCAATTACACAACCCAGGGCAACACGGGT